ACTTTAAAAGTATTACTGCTAAGCAGCATTGTCCCAAAAGAAGCCACTGTTGAATCATATGCTAATGGACCATAATATATTTAGGGCTGCAGCTAACTATTATTTTCATTATTGATGAATCTGAAAGTTATTTTTTCTAGATTAATTGAGTAACTGTTTGGTCCACAGAACCTGGGAAAATGGTAAAAAAAAAAAATGTACACTACATTTTTCTGAAGCCCAAGACGACATCTTCAGATTGCTTGTTTTTCCAACCAACAGTCCAAAAGCCAAAAATATGCAGTTTACAATCATATGAGTCCAAGAAAAACATGAAAATGTCACGATGTTCAATTAAGAAGCAGCACTCGTTGGCATTTTTGCTTGAAAAATTCCATAAATGATTAATCAGTTATCAAAATAATCGCTCGTTATTCATTCCATCATTAATATCAATAGATAAATGAATCTATTCAGATCTAAATATAATAATGGAAGTTATGTAGGTACAGTAGTCTTTGTGTTACAGCATGAGCTCACAAAGCTAAACTGTAAGCCTTTAGAGGGGAAAGAGGAAGTAACTGCAGTGTGTATATTGACTCACAATAAAAATAGCTGTTATCCCTTTGTTTGTCAGCTTCATGGGACGTCAGTGGCTCATACTGTTCTCCTTTTGATAAGTATCGGTGATATAATGTACCGCTATTAGATTTAATAGTCCCACATGGATTAGATGGTGGTGTGTGTGTGTGTGTGTGTGTGTGTGTGTGTGTGGGTCTCTTATTCCCACGGTGTCTCCTGCCTGATCTCATCGCATACACACGCGCACACGCACACACACACACACACGCACACACACATCATCTGATGAGGAGGCAGCTCCCGGCATAACTCTGGACAATGGCATGTGACCACCAGAACATGTGGACAAAGAGAGGAAGACATTCAATAAACTGTGTTTGTGTGAAGGACATTTTGTACAGTCTGCATCTGTGTGTGTGTATGTGTGTGTGTGTGTGTGTGTGTGTTAATTTCAACACTAAACAAGTGTGTGTGTGTTTGCAAATAAACACTAATACAAAGTAAGAAGATTGTTTGAAGAATTAATCCAATCACAATCTCACATGCCCCGTTGTGTATTTGTGTGTGCCCGTGGGTGCAGGTTTATCTGTGTCAACCCTCACACTCACATGTTCCACATTGACGTCTGATTGGACAGGAGTGACTGTCATTTCCTGTCCAGCTCCCGTCTCATTTCCTTTCTTCCTCTTTCTGTCAGCCAGGTCAAATCTATACAGCAGCCTCTGCTTTCTCATTCATGGCTCACTTCCTTCAGAGATGATGTTCTCATGCAGATAATGAAACTTATTTTCCCCACTAGTCAGAGTAGAGTCTTCCTTTGTTTTTAGATCAGTAGTTTCTTGTGTGTTTTGTGTGTCAGGACAGTATGAAAACCTCTTGACTCTTGAAACTGCTAGAGTTTTGTATTTCATCACAGTGAACATGGCCACTTTACCTGTTAGTTTAGGGCTGCCATTAATTATTATTTTTGATTATCGATTAACCTTCATATTATTTCCTTGATTAATTGATGAATCTTTCAGTCTATAAACCATCAGAAAACAGTGATTAAAGGCCGTCACAGAAACTGACAGCACTAGATGACGCCATTAAATGGTCCAAAATTTCCAAATTCCCACATTTAAGACCCTGGAACCAGGAAGTGTTTGGAATCGTTGCTTAAAAAATTAATTTAATGAGCTATGAGTATCTGGCTCCAGGGTTTAAGTAATTCAGTAAACAAAGCCTACAATATTTAGGGATAGTTTCCATGTCAGGACGTTATACACAAAAACATAAAGGTCTAAAAACCACATTTTGACGCAGGGCCTCTCTAGAAGGTAGGGTGACGAGATTAGCTAGTTATGCTGTTTCATCATTGTAATACATGAGCCAAAACATGCGAAACCTCGCCGTGCTCCTTTAGGAATTCAATGGATTTTATTTATGCAGAGTAATGGTAAGAGCATGAAAAGACAAATGACCAGACCGCTAAAATATTTTCCTACGTGAGCAACAAAAATCATGTGTTGATGAGTAAGCAGTGGTTGGATACTTTTACTTTACAAGGAGAACCAAACCCATCAGTTTTCAGATCTTTGCATGGATTGTAAACCATAAATACCACAGAAGGAGCCTGGAGATAGTCTGCCAGTTATTTCCCTCTCATACTGGTTTGAGATCAAAGCCTCTTTAAAGGCCCCCACCACCACCACCACCACCACCCTCCTCTGTCTCCTTGGCAACTTCCCCTATTGTTTAAATAAGACAGCAAAGAAAGGGTGAGTGACCACTTTCTTCTTTAAAAGAAAAAAGAAATACCACAATAAAATGTCTGCAGATTTTTTTGTTGAGCCCTTTACGAGTTGGATTCGAACCAAGCACAAGAACATTGGGTCGTTGCCCCCCCCCTTCATTTTGTCTTAAAGTGGTTTTCTCCGATTAGTTGGTATTGTTGTTGGGAAATTTAGTTTTTCTCTTTTTTTCTTTTTGTGTAATTTTTCCAATATTTTATCATTAGAAAGTGAAAAGTAAAAGGGAACAGAAAGAGGAAGATGGAAGGTGATGTTCAGCAGAGGTCGCAGGTCAGATTCAAACCCCGGACATTGTGGCTGCCTGGCGTTCAGTCCACAACATTTGATATATGTGACATTTATTACATGTCTGTCTATTGTAGAGGAGGAAACCTTCCTCTGTGGCTCTTCCTCCCATTTTTCCCTTGTTAAATAGTTTTTGGGGAGTTTTTCCTTATCTGAATCAAGTGGTAATAGAGAGTGACGTACGGTATTTTTAGATTGTAAAGCCCTCTGAAGCAAGTTTGTGATTAATGAGTATCGGCTGTATCGACTTTACTTTTTCTGTTAGTTGTCATTAGTGAGTAAAACATCACTTTCGGTGAGTACGTTTTGTCTGTTTTGCAAAAATGCAGTTTTGAAATAAATCTGATGTGAAGGAGATTGGACAGGAGGAATCCACAAGAGGAAGAGAGGAATGAAAGAGGAAGAAGAAAGAGGATGAGAGGAATCAAGAGATGACTTAGAGAGTTTGACTCCAGGCAGTAGGAGTTGATGAGGAGGAAATCCCTCTCCGCCTAAAGAGGCTTCCTCCGAGGGTCTTTAAAAACACATGGGGCTGCCCTGGATCTTCAGCTCAGGGATGATAGAAAACAGATTCCCCAGTATTACAGTTCGAATGTTGAATTCCTGAAGGATACACCGTATATGTCTTGGGGGGGAAAACAGAGCTTGCCACTTGAAAATTAAAGATGACTTATTGTATGTTAGTCTATAAAAGCGTGAAGCATTTTGTCATTCAAGGAGTGATCTAATACTGCCTTCACTTAGGAGGCATTGAAGTTTCTCTAACTTGGATAAAATAGCATGCTTTATTTTAAGTGTTTCTTCTAGTGTGATGTCTCTTGAGATTTATAATGACAAATGCCCAGTGCAAGTTCCCAGAGACCGAGGTGACGTCAGTTTCCTTTTTGCGTGACGAACAGCTAAACGTCCCAAAGGGAGAGCTGATGTCTGTTTTTGAAACAATTAAGTTGATCTGCTCTGTCTTCCTCTCTCTGCAGTGACTTGTCCATGCAGTGGGGTCAGCTTTCCAGACCTTACTCCTCCACTGACCGAAGCAGTTCCCTCGGCTCCATGGAGAGCTTGGACACGCCGACACCCACCGCGCAGCCGTACTCCGACTCCCATAATTCACCCGTGGACCCCACCCTCTTCAACAACAAGAGAGACTCTGCCTACAGCTCCTTCTCCGCCAGCTCAAACACATCCGACTACGCCACCGTGCCACTGAGGCCCGGTGAAGCCTGCTCCATGGATAACCTCCTCCAGAGCCTGGGGCCGGCTTGTCGAGGCTACCCGGGTGGCGACACCTCAGCCCTGGGGAGTTCAGCTGGCGAGGCCCCGGATGAGGCGCAGCTGATTGCGCACAAATCCAGATCGCTGACCAGGCCGCGGCCGAGGCCCGTCAAGGTGAAAGAGAGGCCTTCGTCTTGCTGTTACGAGGAGGAGCGGAGGGGAGGAGACTTTGAGATCATAAGAAATGGAGATGTAGGAGCGGGGAGAAAGATGAACCCTCCTCAACCTCCAACCAGAAAGGACAGTTTTAGGGCAACCCGGAGTCGCCCCAATGTCGCCAACAAACGTTGTGCTTCTGCTCCGATCGAAATTCCCAATGTTTCTTCGTACTATGACGAAAACAAGTCCTCTCCGAATGTTGAATCAGGAATTCACAACGGCTTCTCTGCGCCAGAAGAAGGCGACAAAACAGGAACTTTCAAAGAGGATACCTTGGACTCGCACTATAGCCAAAGACAGACTAAAGACATTATACATATCAGATGTGACACAAGTGATAATCAAGACCACAATTTAGAGACCACCTCAGATTATCTTTCTGACCAAGTGATAGCCTCCTTAGTCCCCATCACCTCCTCTCCTCCTGGCTCCTTACCCGCAGAATCCTCCCCGACCAAGCACCGGCACAGCGCTCCCGAGAAGCTCCTCGCCACACAGCTTCAGTTATTGCAGTTTGACAGTGACGGCTCCTCGTTGGAGCCTTGCAACCAGTCAAACCCTTCGGATTACAACCACGTCAATGCCCCATCAAACAAATGGGGAGGCAGCCGGTGTTCGACCCCAGGATCTGTGTTCTTGGAAGGGGACGGGGAAGATGGGGATTCAAATGCGAGGATGGAAGGGTTGGGTGTAAATGGCGAGTCCCTCTCCCCAATACAGCATCTTCACCCGTGGGGCCGCTCTGTGAGCGTACCAGGAGACCCCAGTGGATCATCAACCCAGGGAAGGTTGAGCTCCGACCAGATATTGGAGAAAGATTTTGAACCTCTTAGTGCTGCTGCCAGTATGGATACTTTACTGGAGGAGCAGAGAGTGGAAAGAGGAAGAGGTGGAGGGAAAAAAGAGGAGGATGTAGAGGGAGAGGCAGCTATGAAGAAGTCAAACTCGTCGAGGAACCATCGGCGTAACCGTCGCCGCAGTGAGCGATTTGCTACCAACCTCCGCAATGAGATCCAGAGGAAAAAGGCCCAGCTTCAGAGCAGCCGTGGCCCAGGGGGGTTGCTCTGTAGTGGGGAGACTGTCCAGGAGGAGGGTCCAGATCTCCATGAAGAGGAGACAGACGCAGGTGTGCCCGCCCAGGAAAGGAGTACCAAAGTTGCATTTGCCTCACCTGTAAGCCCCCAAGATCTCAGGACGACAGCACCAGTCGAGAAATCAAACCCTTCCACTGAATCAATCCACGATGCTTCGCCAACTCAGCCTCAGTCAACAACCTACACTCAAAACAACAACGTGTCCAGGTCTGTCCAGATTCTGGACCCAGGCGTGCCCAGTTTTGGTGTCGGCATCCGAGTCGTGGAAGAGCCAGCTCCTGCCGGCAAAGCCCGCCGCTGGCGTTGGACCCCCGAGCATAAACTCCAGCCAGAACCAGAACCAGAACCAGACCGACGGTGTAGAGTCCTGGGTGAGAGGGTGTTGGGGGTAACAGGGTCCCGGCATGGGGTTTGTGCTTTTACCTCCTCCTCCTACAGTCGCTCCTCTTCATGTTCTCGGATGGAAGAGACTGATATCCTTCCATTTGCAGATAGGATGAAGTTCTTCGAGGAGACAAGCAAAGGCGTGTCTGGGTCAAATGTTTTGAGTTTGTTCAGTCGTCGGCAGAAAAAACACCCCAACCACTCTGAGCAGCAGGGAGGGGAGCTCGGTCTGCACCCAAACCAAAGGAGATACTCCTACCAGGGGGGACTTCAGCAGCAGAGCTCCCTGCCAAACACCATGGAGACCAGGAGGCAGTCTGTTAGTACCAGCAGGGAGAGGCAGAAAGAGAAGGAGAGGGAACAGGTGAGGGAGAGGGAGAAGAGGGCAAGGGAACGGGAGGAGAGGTTGAGAGAATCGGAGAGGCAGCAGGAGAAGGAAAGGCAAGAGAGGGAATTAGAAACTGAGAGGGCAAAGCTGAGGGAGATTCAGCGGGAGAAGGAGCGAGAGGAGAGGGTGAGACAGTGGGAAAGGGAAAGCGAGAGGGAGCTTGAGCTAGAGAGAGAAAAAGAGATGGAGAGGGCCAGAGAGAAGGAACGACTCAAGGCAGAAAGAGAGAAAGAGCTGGAGAGGGAAAGAGAAAAGGAAAGGGAAGAAGAAGAAGCCCAGCTCGCCTCACATCACGAGTTTTACGGCAATTCTGCCATCAAAGAAAACCATCAAGACAGCTTCCACAACTTCCAGCCCAAGCCTCAGGCGTTCTCCCACAGCCAAACCCAGAATCAAGTCCCGCGGTCGGCTTTTTACCCGGTCAACAACACCTCTCAGCACCTGGGGAACCATCCACCTCAGCACCAGGGATACACAGCAAGGAGCTACACGCCTACAGAGGTAAGAGAGCGCTCACAAACACAAGCCTGTTCCTGTTACACCATTGGTGAAAGACACACTGTATTTATGAGGTTCATGAAGGAGTCAGGGGTTGCCAGGTTAGCTCTCAGCAGGAGTGTGTTGTCCTGGGATCTGGATTATAAACTGGACTTTGTCAGGTTTATAGACAAAGAGAGTGGGTCAGTCTCATTCTGGCTTCACGCATGTTCAGTGAGAGTCGGGCCGAAGCTTTAAAAACAGGCTGTAGGCGTTTTCTACTTATTTCTCAGATGGATTAAATCAAAACGTTCTTCTTATAAAAAGCTACTACAGTATGTGAAGGATATTTTATGGGACTATAGCATCTGGTGGAGGTCAGTGAAGTGTGGTGTACGTACAGTCCATTTATTTGGGCATCCATGTTTTATGCTGTATAGTAGTATATTTGATTTGTTTCTGTCCCGAATTCACAGGTTATATCTACTTTGTCCTGCACCCACTGTAAAACCACAAATTGTCATTTTACAAGTTGTTTTTTTTACACTGTTTTCAGTCTTTATGCTAAACTAAGCTACACACTTAACGGCTTAACAGATAACAAAGTGGTATCGATCTTCTCTTACATGAGCTACAGCCAAAACATTATTATCAACATTACTTATAACTTTATTTCTGTATTCAAGTAAAAGTCCCGAAAAAAGTCAAGGCATCAGTCCATATCGACATGTTAGAGGTTCTAACTACATCCATTAACAACTATGTTTACAAGCCTGCTGGCCTCAAAACCAATTTCCAGCAGCAGGCATGCTAAGCTAAATAACAGCCTGTGCCCCAGCAGCACTGAAACCAAGCAACGCCTTTCAGAGTGAAAGTTAAACTTTGCAGTGAAATCAGACTGTGGGTTTGGACCGAGCTGGAACAACCACTGGAGACTGAAAACTATCTTGGTTCTTTAAACCAGCACCAGAAAAGGGATTGAGTGGCCCCTCTTGGATGTTGGAGCTAAGTGGTCCACTTGGTCCAAGTACTCCGCGGCTGAATGGTTGGTTTGAAGTTGAACCTTGCGTCCCGCGTGTGGTGAAAGTCTGAAATTCTCATTGAAAATTCAGCGGATCACTGAAATAGTTCATGGAACTGAGGGAGATTGGGCAACAGCGGCGGACACTTGTGTAAGCGATAATAGCAGCTTTGGGTTACCTCTTTACCACAAATTGATTCAAGTTACTTGGCAGGGGGTGCAGCCCCTTCGTCCGAACTTAAGAAACTCCTGTGAACTTCAACCTATTAGTAACCTTATCGGTTAACGCTGAGCAAAGCCAAACTGACGTTTGTTTTGGACTAAATGCGTCTTCAGTTCAGCAGATATTTGGTCCAAACTGACACTGTGTTGTTGTTTTCGTGTGGGTTTTCGGCGCGCTTTAGCCTCGGGGGGGGGGCCTTGAACCCTGGCTTCCTCCATGTTGGGCTCCGTTTCAAATGAAAGGTTGTTAGCGTGATGCCACAGCGATAACCTCAAGCGTGGAATTTTTGTTTCATATCTGCTGCTGACGACGTTCCAATATCTTTAACAATAACAGATGTGTTGGATGGACTACAAAGCTGTGATAAGACCTTCTGCAGAGGCACACACACACACACACACATGGAAACGCACTTATCCAAAAGGAAACACACACCTATCAAGGTGTACATGTAAGAACAGTCTCACACGCATGATCCCATTTTGAATGAGGTACATTCAGCAACGTGTGTGCGTTCATATCATTTGGAAAGAGGAAGGAAACTGATTGTCAAAATAATATTATAATATTATAATAATATTATTATTCATGGTCTGTCACTCAGTTGGGCTCTCGCTGGAGAAGCACAGCTGCTTTTCAGAAATATTTGGAAATAGTTAAGTTGAATTGTTTTTGGCAAAAATTTAAGACTATTAGATTTGATTATTTTTTTTCACATCTCACCTCATTACATGAACATTAAATCTACACTTTGATGCAATTTGCCCTTTTCCCAGAGGACATTCATTTTATTTAGATCCCTGCGGAAAACATTTCGTGCGTGATGGTCATTATAATCAAAATGAAACACTTTCACAGTGCTCATTAATATATTGGATTTAAGGTGTATGTTTTGTTAGTCGGTTAAAGGGTTATTTAAAGATTTCGGTCGTTTTAGCAAAATGCCCCAGAAGTCTCTGCTCTACGCCAAGAAACAGTCCGGCGTTTGCCCAAGTATGGAAGCTTTAATTCCTGGTATTCACCAATAGAAGCCAGAAGAAGCCATGAATTACTTAATGCACTTTTTAAAGCCCAAGAGACAGTGACTTTAAATGAAGAACTGCCACATCCAGGTACTTGAGCTTATTATCAGTCGTTACCATTTAATGGATTTTGCGCTCTGTTTACAACAGGCGACGGCCAAATATGTTAAATTCATCCCACCTCTCCAACAGAAATACCAGCTGAAGGTTCAGGTTTGCATCACAGACGGTCAGAAAATATCTCTGCACAGGAATCAGTGTGTGTGTGTGTGTGCGTGTGTGTGCGTGTGCGGGGGCCCCACCGGTGTGTTTGTGCAGCCGATCCCTGCCTCTTGTGTGCGGATCTACTGGCTGCTTGTATCTCTGAGCGGTGATGAGAGTGCAATGAGTTCGTTCAGCATTCCACCGGTGGGGTAATAACCCAATGCATTGTACAGACGTATCCTGTGCCGCAGCCGTAATGAGTAAAACCTCGTATTAGTTCTTAGATCAACAACAAATAACTTTATCAGAAACTCTGGAAACAAAGCCGTCAGACTTCCTGCTGCTGCACTCGTTTCTTTTTCCTCTTTCTTTATCTGTCTGTCCTGGTGACTTGGGTTCAGTGGGAAGTTTTAGTCTTTTTCTATGAGGTTTTAGATGCTACAGGTCAATTTAAATGAGTTAAAAGAACGTCTGTGTTTGATAATGATAACAGTAGTGCTCACTGTAGCCACACAGATACTGGATTCTTTGGCCAACACTGATATTATTGATATTTGTGAGTTTAAAAAAACGATATATCGTCCACAGTAACTCTTTCAGTCTCCACATTGACCCACATACATTCACAATGACGTTTTGAAATATAAAATATACAAAATAATCATAACTTTTAACTGCATCCAGTGCAGTTGAAAGCTCGGGAAGAAGGCTATTGAGTGGACTGGATCATTCCGTCAAGATACAAAGTGGTAAACAGAAAGCGAAGCGTGGAGTGAAATAAAATACAAACACGACTGAGCTGTATTAAAATTTAAACGCAAGGATGCAACAAGATAAAGATAAAGCTGAAACAAGAAATGATTAATTGACAGAAAATTAATTGGCAACCATTTTGATAATCAATTAATTGCTGTTTTTAAGCAAAAATGCCAAAAACTTAACCGGTGCCACTTTCTCAAATGTGAATATTTGTTGGATTTTTTTAATCCAATTTGAATCAGTCGACATCAAAGACTATATGATAGAAAATAAAACAATTTTAGAGAAGAGAAGTCACAAATAACGTGTTTTTAAAGATATTGATATGAAGGTAAAGAGGCGGTTTACGGGTTTTTGGCATGAAATTGTTCAGATTCAGCAGAAAATGCCCCCACCCCATGAGCCTTATCACCACTGAAGTGTACTGCAGGGTGGAGGGACACACCCACTTCCCTTCAGCGTGAAAGTGTGCTGACCAACACTTTGCAGACCAGACTGAAGCCTTCCTTCATTCCTTTGCTGTTATTAACCGGCCTTAAATCTCTTCCACAGACGTATCCCGCCCGGCAACAGGAAACGACCAAGCTCAACAGGAAGTACAGCCTGACGGAGAGGTGAGCCACTTCCTTTCTCAACCACAGAGTGCAAACGCAGACGCACACATTCATATAAACGTCTCGTTTCTGACTTGATGATCTTCTAGATTTGTGACTCTGCCTCTCTGACATGGCAGCGCTGACACACACTCGCTCCATCTCTGTCTGATTGTCTCTAAGTGAGTCTCCAGAGACACTAGGTGGGGTCGGCCCATTGTGCACTGGCAGGCGGAAACCCCGCTCAGTCATGCCTGGCTGTGATTTGACTATAATGAGGTCTAAGTGTGCAGAGCAATCATCCATGCTTAAAATGTGACCATAATGATATGTGGTTGGGTGGTGATTCCTGTACGTTAGCATGCAGGGGGGCTTTCGGGACATGCATGGCTCGTAAAGGGGGGCCTCCACTCGTATTTGACCTGAGACAGAAACAGTTGACTGAGCCTGGGATGCAATAAGGGAAACACAGACTGTAATTTAACCACTTTCTCTAAAGGAAATGTTCTGCCACTCATCCGTCAAGGCTCTGAAAACCCAGCTGTGTCCGGTGAGCGGTGGGGTCCTACGTGAATACACTGAATACACAGTCACCGGCCAAAATTAAGAACAGTTTTCTTTACTTTGAATGAGAATTCTGGGTATTTTGTTATTTTTCTGTGCTCAAAAGGTGATTGCCAGTTTTTGACTTGTTTTAAACCATTTAATGAGGATTTTAATAATTGATATTGAAAGGGATCGTTCAGTGTGGGTTGCCAGATTCAGTCTATGAGAGGAATCATCTTTAGTTATTGATTATTAAGGGTTTAACACACATAACCAGCTAATCTGCTTTATAAGGGCATCGTTGGTTGAGTCTCCAAATGTTGAACTATTCCTTTAATGTTATAGCAAGATAGATAGACGGATTGATTTGTTCTGTATTTGTTTATTGACTCTGTCGCTCCATCACAGGGACTACCCAAGCTGGAGACGGGAGTCCAGACCACCAGAGAGCGTCAGTCAGCACCAGCAGCCCCCCCACCAGAGCCGATGGGGCAGCGCCGACCGCAACGGCTACGCGTTCGCTCCGCCGCCGGCTCCTCTTGCGCTCCGGGGGCGAGCCATGTCCGAAAATGACCTCCGCTTCGACAGCAGCCACCGCTGGTCGCCGTCGATTTCCGTAGCGACCAGTCAGACCCTGAGCGAGGTGGAGGAGGGAGCGGGCGGGGTCAGGGGAGGAGAAGCAGCAAGCACTGCCAGGCAAAACAGGAAGAAGACGCCGCCTCCCCCGAGACCGCCGCCCCCGAAGTGGGAGCAGTTCCACCGCAGGCGCGCATCTCACCACACCCTGTTCCCCTCCTCTCCCTCCTCCACCTCCTCCTCCTCTTCATCTACTGCTCCTCAAGCCATCCCTCCCTCCTTCGGCGCCGCAGACGGACACTATCCGACTCACTCCTCCTCATACATCCCTCCTGCTGATACGTCCAGGCAGAGGTCGTACAGTCTTCCCCCGGAGCGGCAGGAAGTGGCGGAGGGCTGCCCCCGCTGCAGCTGCCACCAAACCCAAACCCAGGAACACCCTTTCCCCCACGCCCCGTCCAATCAGGGCGAGGCTCAGTTTCAGGAGCGGTCCTTTACTGTTGCTCCACCCAGTCCTATGTTCTCCAGACGGTCCTTCAGACCGGTGGCCCCGCCCCAGAGAGAGAGGGAGGGGAACCTGAGGAGCTCGTACGGAGGACAGCAGGAGAGGGTGGAGTTTGTGTCGTCTCTACCGCCACCAACAGACACGAGCAGGTGAGACGGGAGGAAAATAACTATAAATGAGTAAATTAATTTCAACAGTTTGTTAATTGACACGTGTTATTTCTGTATTTGATTAATCGATCGTCTGTGTCTCTGCAGTTTCTCGGAGGTTTACGTCGGCCACGGTCCAGACCAGGACCGGATAACAGTGAAACCTCACAAGCAGCAGCACAACGTGAGACCTGGAGCCGAGTGGGAGAGATCCTCATCTCCCAGAGTTCATAGCGACACAGCACTTCCTCCTGAAATACAAAACGGAGGTGTTGGTGGGGTTTTCCCTCCTGAGTCCTACTTCACCATGGACTATGAGCAGCAGCAACAGCTCCGTATGAGCAGAGGCTTCCAGACCGAAGAGCGGCAGAAGATCCCAGAACCAGGAGCCGAATCCGAGACGACCCTCAGCCCGAGTCCCGTGCACAGCCTGGAGGCCGACCTGGACGTCCCGATGGAGACTGACATCGACGATTTCCAGGAGGAGGAGCTCCCGGCGGAGGCTGAGCCGATCACCAGCGAGCTCCCGTGCTTCGCGCTGCCGGTCACCGTCCTGGAGACGGACATCGACACCTTACCGGATTCTGAGGCCTCGCCGTCGCGCCGGACCAGGGCGGAGAGCGGCTCCCTGGAGGAGGAGCTGGAGACCGGGGAGAGCGGCAGAGAGAGGCTGAGCCTGGAGGAGCTGTTCCCCCAAAGCAGTGAAGGAGAGTCGGGCACGGAGAGCTGGAGAGGAGCCTACCAAACCATGGAGCCCAACACAGACAGCTTGGACAGGTGAGGAGGGAGGAGGAGGTGGAGTGTGTGTGTGTGTGTGTGTGTGTGTGTGTGTGTGTGTGTGTGTGTGTGTGTGTGTGTGTGTGTGTGTGTGCTGTGTGCCGTGCATTAATTACACACACCATTTGATTTGTACAAGACCTAACTGTTCTTGTCACTAATCTCATTCCTTCTTTCCCACAACCTTTCCAGAGCACCTCACTGCAGCCAGTTCTCTTTTCTTTTTTTGTTCTCTTTCGGATAACTTTACAAATGTTTTTTTTTTCTTTCTGCAGACACAGGTGCCAGATATGTAGCTGCTGCCAAACAGGACAAAAAGACGGGGCTCAGTTTAGATGATCAGTGGAAAACGACTCTATATTCTTTGTGTCTTCACAGATGTTTTTTGTTTTTCTCCTGATCATCTTCACTGTAAACTCCCGCAGTTTCGTCACGTCTTTGTCTTTCCTCTCGGCTTCTCGTCTTATTTATTTCCTTGTTTGGAGTTGAGATGTTTCCCACATGCCCCTTTGTTTTTCTTTTTGTGTCACACTTTGCCCGGATAATTGATTGCATCTCTTATTTATGTACTTTTGTAATCGCTGTATTTTACAGCCGTGTGTCTTGTTTCTTGTGTTTTTATCGTTGTGTAAATAAAATAAACTCCCCCCCCCCCAGGCGGTCTGGTGCGAGCTCCAGCTGTTCGTCCTACTACAGCACGTCTGCAGCCAAGGCTCAGCTCCTCTCGCAGATGAAGGACTTCACCGATAACAGAGAGAGGGACGACGACGAGCTCACGTACAAGGTAGCGCCGGCGGCTGCTGTCTCACCGCTTTGTCAGAGTTACCATGACACTTTGACAGACATGTGTTGCGTGTTGTTTTTCATTTTGTGGCGTTGAAACAATTCTCCGTTTGTGTCGAGCAGAGACAGCTGATGGAGAGCCTCCGCAAGAAGCTGGGCGTGCTGAGAGAAGCTCAGAGGGGGCTGCAGGAAGACATCAGAGCCAACGCTCAGCTGGGGGAGGAGGTGGGGAGACACTTGCCCTGACAGACGCACCTCACATACCGGCTCTATTGCTTCCTCATTAGTCTATTTTAAGAGCTGCAGCTGGTGTTTGTTTACTAATAGATGAACAACATTCATCATTTATTCTATAAAATATGAGAAAATAGAAAAACTCCAGTGAGTCCAAGGTCATAAAACTGAGAAAAGATTTTACAAGCTGATATTTCTGCTTGATAAACAACTTGAATGTTGAAAATTGTGACCAACACGTCGTACTGAACCGTGTCCCTGTCGGCGTCCTCAGGTGGAGAGCATGGTGGTGTCGGTGTGTAAGCCCAACGAGGTGGACAAGTTCCGCATGTTCATCGGCGACCTGGACAAGGTGGTCAGCCTGCTGCTGTCGCTGTCCGGGAGGCTGCTGAGAGTGGAGACCACGCTGGACACGCTGGACCCCGAGACGGAGCATCACGAGAGGGTGAGGAGGCGAGGGACAGAGGGAGAGTTAATACACAACGTTTGAAATTATCGTGAGCTTCATCTAATCTTGATGAAGACTTGCAGTCGCCACATCAACTAGGACTGAAATATTGATGATGTCAAGTGATCAAAGGGGGCAGAAGCCGGCACTTTATATAATACTAAGAATTCCAATATAGTAAGAATGGTTGTGATGATCAATAATAGGAGGGATTGAACGTTAAGAGACAAAAAAAGGGAAGATTAAAAGGTCTTTCAAGAAGAGTCAACAAACTCTCTCTCTCTCTCTCTCTCTCTCTCTGCGCTCTAGCTCCCCCTGCTGGAGAAGAAGCGTCAGCTCATGAGGCAGCTGTCGGAGGCCCAGGACCTGAAGGACCACGTTGACCGCAGAGAGCAGGCCGTCAGCCGGGTGCTGGCCCGCTGCCTGTCCCCCGAACAGCACAGAGACTACAGGTAGAAAAACACCACAACGCCATCATGCACTGTAGTGGAAGTAGAGACGCATGTTTTCTAATGTGTATCTCTTGTCTTCTTTCCTCCGCAGTCACTTTGTGAAGATGAAGGCCGCTCTGCTGGTGGAGCAGAGGCAGCTGGAGGACAAGATCCGGCTGGGGGAGGAGCAGCTGAGGGGGCTGAGGGAGAGTCTGGGGCTGGGGCTGGGAATGGGTATGGGGATGTCGATGGGATACGGACATTATTGACTTAAGATATGAAGAAGAAAGGTCCCATTTACTGTGTTCTGAATCAGTTTCAACGTCGAAACAAAAACGAAGACCAGACCAAACAGAGTTTAAACATACGGTCAAAAATGTTTGTTGAGTTTCTTGAAGGAAGTTCGACTTTTGATGCAATCCCACTCTCATATCTGAAGCTACAGCAAGCAGCTGATTAGCTTAGCTTAGCACAAAGCATGAAAACCAGGGGAAACAGCTAGCATGTCTCAGTCCAAAAGCTAAGAAAATCAGCCCAGGAGCACCTCTAAATGCTCAGTTTAACATGTGTATGTGCCAGACTCTTTGTTGGCTGGTCACAGTGACATCCTGGAGTCCTTATGCTAAGCTAAGCTAACCATCTCCTGGCTTTAGCTTCATATTGAGCATCCCAAAAATGTCCAAAACTGTTCCTCTTGAGGATTAGCAAAGATAACAGAGACCAAAAGAAGCACAAGTCCAGCGCCGGACACTAAGAAGAAGAAGAAGAAGAAGAAAGTTGGATCTGAGGAGCAGAACATGTTGTCTTCATCAACTCCAGACTTGAGAAATCAGATAAATCACCAGCTACAACAGAAACATATCGACGGCTCGTCTGCAGAGCTGTGATCGGAGAGCAGAGAGGACGTTTGACGGACGGAGAATGGCGACGATCGGATCGCGGAGATCCTTGTTTGTGAGAAACCCGAGTTAAAGACTGAAGCGATGTTTCCACACTACACCTTTCACCCTTTGCTTCACATTGTGTGCCTGAAACACGTACTGTAAAACTGTGCTCATGCCTTACCACACACTATGTTGCCAAAGACATTTTCGCTTGATGAATGTGTCAGTAAGACGCTGCTTATTTTTTAATTTTTTTTTTTGTTGTTGTTGTTGTTTTCTTTTGTATTTAAATCTCCTGGTTCAGAGAATCGAAGGAGAGCTCTTTTTGTTTTTCTCGGTGCTTCACACTAAGAAAGAGTTTCCGTTAACAACACTAAAGTTTAATGACATGCCGTTTGCAGCATTATTAACTGTCACTGGGAAGTTAGCTACATGTATAAAGTCTCTCGCTGACACCTGCATTCAGAAACACATATACTGTATTATCTAGCATCATATCACTTTGTATTCCTCGTTACTGTAACGTCTACGGCTGTAACATGTCTTACTGTGTGGAGTTTGACACTCCACCAACTCGTTATACTGTCACGTAATGATTGTTATGTACAGAAGACACTTGTGTTTATAATGTATACGATGTGTATATAATGAGTTTCCCTTTTTGAAGTGACTGGAATCGGTTGTAAAAGATGAACGAAAAGACCAGGGAGAGTCGAAGTTTACTGTATATTTAGATCGGGAATGAATCCTGAGGAGTTGCAGTTTTTTGTTGTTGAGCTTGTTCCAGTGTCCGGTGAAGTTTAAAAAAATGTTGTTTTGTTTTGTTTGTTTTTTTAACATTTTTGGCCCCGAACTCTGTCTGACATTTAAATCCTGAAGTTCATATTCACTGAAGACTGATGTTTGAGAGGAAAAAAAAAAAGTTTCTTACTGAGAGTTGGACGAGAAGCTGGACATCACGCTCAATATGAAGCTACATATTAGCTTAGCATAAAGAGTGGAATCAGGGGGAAACAGCTAGCCTGGCTCTGTTTAAGGGTTAAAGCTAAAGCTCACTAATTAACATGATATATTTTGCTTTAAAACTGCAACTAAAGATCATTTTTGTTATCATTAATCTGCTGATTATTTTCTTAACTTAATCGATTAATCGTTTGGTCTTTAAAACATCAGAAAAGATAATATTGGAAATACGTTTTCTTTGCATCAGCTCATCTATTAATTGTTACAGCTCACTCTTGTGCGTTTAATCCATTCAGAAACCAAAGTGTAAAAATGACAGTCAGGCTAGCTGTTTCCCTCTGTTTCCAGTCTTTATGCTAAGCTAAGCTAACTGGCTGCTTCTCGTCTTACTCTCAGCAAGATAGTGAATAAATTTTTATCCCAAAGTGCCAAACTGTTCCTTTAAAACTTGAGTTAAATAGTTTTTTGAAACTTGATCATTAACTTTACTGAAAAGGAATTTAAACACAAGGGCAGATTCCTGTCATTCGGGTTAATTATCCACCATCACACCCGTTCCATTAAACTTTAAATAACCGCTATCTGCACTTACCTCCCATGACGTCTTGTGATTTGTGATCTTGCCAAAGTCTCCCGAGCTTTAACCGCTATCCTAAACCGTGGGGCCGGGACAGAGTTCAGCTCCGCCTGTCTGAGTAAATCAAGTTTAAAAACACTGCAGCTCAACGAGTGATGGGAGGGATTTGGAAGAGGAAACGTGTATATTTTGGCTGTTGAAAGGTGAAGTTAAGTGAAAACACAGACACCTTTGTCATTTTCTGCGTTATCAGTGTCACTGGTTAACCGCTCTGTTCAGAAGCAACACATCTCCCGCTTTGAAGTTCATTAAAAGTTACAGTTTCACACTTGGTTTTTGTTCATTCCCTCAGTTTGTTTGTGAGGTGATTCCTGCTGTTCTAATACCAAACGACCCTGAACATGAGATACCTGTTAATTTTTGTTTTGTTTTGTACATACTATGTGTATTCTTGTATTATAACAGCCGTTTTCTAAACCGACTGGAAACTTATTGACTTGAGAGAGAGAAGAAGTTGCTTGTTGGACCAGTAACTGTAACTTTTTGTAACTGCAAAAACACTCATGTGAGAAAAAAGTACCATAAATAATAATAATAGTATTTTAAACTAGCTTTTCGTCTCCTGTTGTGATTTACACTCTCCTGGGTGAACGGTCTCTTTATGCTGCTTCAGTGTCCGGTGCTGACATGTATTCCCTTCGGGGGGGGGGGGGG